AATCGAAACTTGAGACAGAGCTGTTAGAACCAAAGACCAAGGTACTATCGAGAGTGTATAACTTGCTGCTTAAATGGAATACTCAGGATGAGACAGTTAAATCAGCTATGATAAAGTGGGCTCAAGACATTGGGTACAATATCATGTTTGAAGACTGGGAAAGGTTATGGACCACCGGTATGAAATTCACGGCATGTAATGCCTTGAAAGAAAACATTATGAAAATGATATACAGGTGGTACATGACCCCAGTCAAGCTTGCTAAGATATACCATTTGTCTGATAACAAATGTTGGAAGTGTAAGGAGGCTGAAGGAACATTTTTTCACCTTTGGTGGACCTGTCCAAGAGTGAAGGCCTTCTGGGAGATGATCTATAACGAGTTAAAAAAGGTGTTTAAGTACACCTTTCTTAAGAAACCGGAGGCCTTCCTCTTGGGCATTATGGACCAAAAGGTGTTAAAGAAGGACAGAACGTTTTTTATGTATGCAACCACAGCAGCAAGAATTCTTATCGCCAAATATTGGAAGACTCAAGATTTGCCCACACTGGAAGAGTGGCAAACGCAATTGATTGACTATATGGAGTTGGCCGAGATGACTGCCAGGATCCGAGATCTGGGAGAAGAAGCGATGGAGGAGGACTGGAAGAAATTCAAGGACTATTTGCAAAAACTTTATAAGTTATATGAATTATAAGGTGCCGCATGATTTGGAATGTTAGCTCCAGCAATGAAAGTGGAATTTATATGAAATTGGATAATATTATTGAAAGAATCAAAGTTTAAATGGTTAAAAATGATAATATGTTTTGCTTTTAGAGTAAATGGACAATAAGGGATTTAAACTTAATATGCATCGAAAGTACAAAAGAAACACATGAAACAAGGTTATAATTTGCTGATAAATTTATTGTCAGGAATGCACTGTGCGGGAGATGTGGGGAAGTTCGATAGAAAGTTGAAATAAGCTGTTGAAATGTTATGGTTTTTTCCTTTTCTTTTCTTACTTTTTCTTTTTCTTTCTTTGCTTTATCTGTAATTGGAAAAAATGTAATAGAAATTATTATTTAAAAAAAATGATGTTTGTGGGGGGTGGTCTGGGGTTACACCCCTTCTGTGGTGTATGTATGATGTATGGAGGGGTGGTCTGGAGCTCCAGGGCAAAGAATTTAAAATGTCTATATAAGAGCTGGCACACCTTGGTTGGGGGTCCTCCTCAGGGGAGCACCCTGTTGCAACAGATCAATAAAGATCAGGCTTGCTAGCTGCTTTGCTTCTCAATATTCTCTGGATGTCTCTGCTCTTTTCTCCTACCGATGGAGAACCTACAAGGGACTCTATAAAGGGCTCTTGTGTCCCCCATAAGGGAAGAAGGCAGCTTTTGTTTACAACAGATGGCACCCCAGATGGGACCTTCGGTTGGCCAGATTTAAGGGGGGCAAGGAAGGACTGGTGATCCAGCGCGCACCAGGCCATTTGCCAGGAGGAGCCACCAGTCCTCTAGTGACCCCAGGGTCTGGAAAGAACTGGAGTTCCAGCAGGGCTAACCAGAGGAAGCAACGCTTGATCAGGCCGGCCTCAAATTGATTTATTTTTAAAAATAATCTTTATTGATTTAAATTACACACATATACAAAGAATTTGGAATCTCATACCGCAAAAAGAAAATTAAAGAAAAAACGAAGAAGAAAAAAGGAAAGAAGAAAATAAAGAAAAATAAAGAAAAAGCAGATTTATGTGCATGAAAAAACTTAATCTTTCTAATTAAATAAAAAAGACTTCTGACAAAAGGAGTCTTCCAATCATTCTCATTGTGCTGTTTACACTGCGTTGTTTCTTTCGCACAGTTTTACCGTATATTCTTTAATATTGATCCGGTCTAATCCACAAACAGCATTTGTTGTGTTTACAAGTATCACTCAAGTTCTGCTAATATGGTGTGGTTGGTACAATATGATCTTATATAATCCTTAAATATTCTCCATTCTCCAAATATTTTCTGGTTCAATACTCCTAATTCTTCCCGTCAGTTTTGCTAGTTGTAACTATTCTAACATGAGTATATGGCTTCTCTTGGTGATGTCCACAAGGGTATTTTTGGCTCAAGTAGTCCTTTATATTTATTCCAGATTATCACGATTTTCTTATCACATGGCTCAAAAATCCCCTGTGGACCTTCACTTTTTTGAATATTTAAGAAGCGTGCCATCCAGACCGATTCTTAGAATCATAGTTGGAAGAGACCACAAGGGCCATCGAGTCCAACCCCCTGCCAAGCAGGAAACACCATCAGAGCACTCCTGACATATGGTTGTCAAGCCTCTGCTTAAAGACCTCCAAAGAAGGAGACTCCACCACACTCCTTGGCAGCAAATTCCACTGTCAAACAGCTCTTACTGTCAGGAAGTTCTTCCTAATGTTTAGGTGGAATCTTCTTTCTTGTAGTTTGGATCCATTGCTCCGTGTCCGCTTCTCTGGAGCAGCAGAAAACAACCTTTCTCCCTCCTCTGTGTGACATCCTTTTATATATTTGAACATGGCTATCATATCACCCCTTAACCTCCTCTTCTCCAGGCTAAACATGCCCAGCCCCCTTAGCCGTTCCTCATAAGGCATCGTTTCCAGGCCTTTGACCATTTTGGTTGCCCTCCTCTGGACACGTTCCAGTTTGTCAGTGTCCTTCTTGATCTGTGGTGCCCAGAACTGGACACAGTACTCCAGGTGAGGTCTGACCAGAGCAGAATACAGTGGCACTATTACTTCCCTTGATCTAGATGCTATACTCCTATTGATGCAGCCCAGAATTGCATTGGCTTTTTAGCTGCCACGTCACACTGTTGGCTCATGTCAAGTTTGTGGTCAACCAAGACTCCTCTTGTGGCCTTCCAAGTCTATTAGGTCCGTAACTTTTAGTGTAATCCAGTCTTTTATCCAAACCAATCCTGCCGCCGCATGGTAGAATTCCAAATCTGGCAATGCAAAACCTCCTCTCTCCTTTTGATCTGTTAATAACTGGTGTTTAATTCTCGGTTTCTTTCCACTCCATATAAATCTAGATATTTCCCTTTCCCACTCCCTAAAACAATTCATTCCTCCTAAAATGGGCATTGTTTGGAATAAGAACATCATTTTGGGGAGGATATTCATTTTCACAACCAAGACTCTTCCCCACAGTGAGAGATGGAGTTTGGTCCAGGTTTCCATATTTTTAAAAAATTCTTTCCATACTTTACTATAATTATCCTCATATACACTTATACTTTTATTTGAAATCCAGATCCCTAGGTATTTAACCTTATTTTTTATTCCAGGCCTGTTTTTTCTTGAAGTTCTTTTTTTCCCTTCCATTGTGAAGTTTTTGTCAGTAATTTAGTTTTTTGGTAGATTATTAGCAGCCCCAGGCTGTCCATGAATTAATCTAGTAAAAGACCCTGGGGTGGCCAGGAGCAGCGCATGCGGACGTGAGTCTAGGAATGGAGAAGATTGTGGGCGGGATTCTCTGAAACACCCAGCAACCCAGATTCTCATCCTTTGCTGTCTCTTTTGCTTACGGTCTTCACTCCCAGCCTTCCTGGCAAGAGGTAGCGAGGAGAGGGAGGGGAGAATGGTAGACTTGGGGTTCTGCAATTAGAGAGGCAATTAACTGCAAGGGGAGAACGCCAATCAAAGCTCTCATTCCCTGTTGCGGAACCTGAGATCTGAAACTTTTCCTTTTCCCAAGGAAGACGCCCCAAGGCTGGTCCAAGTGGCCACTTTGGATAGCAAGGGACTTGGGCTTGGTTTCCAGATTTCTCTTTTTCTCATAAATGCAGCTGCACCGGAAGCACCAAGATCCAAGAGGAAGTGACTGGTGCGCGTCAGAGCGCAAGGGCGTTTACAGTTCCTTTCCATTCTCTCTGGAGCAGCCGGATTTGGCACTGGGCTGCCAGGCGTCCAATGGAAAGGGACTCTTTTCCCTAGAGTGTAAGAGGCAGAAAAGGTTGCTGGGACCCCATGGGAAAAATAAGGATTAGGACTTTGTAGAGTCCTTTGTAGAGGAGACGAACGACTGTCAGGTCAGGAAAGACCTGGGAAAAGGCTGGCGGGTTTTTGCTTTGGTTGAAAAATGGGATCCCCACATTCTAAGCGTTCTAACCGCCAGACTCAAAGGCATGTGCTGGTCGCAGCAGGAGGGGGAGTCTCCCTGGATGCTTCAGCAGCTGGCCTCCTCTGGGTCTCCTGGCCCCCTCCTCTCCTCCCTCTGAGCCTGAACTGCTCTCTGCCCCAAACTCTTCCTGCTCACCAAACCCTGTTTCCTCCTCAGCTTGCAACATCTCCCCTTCCGGTCTGCTCCCTTTTCTCCCTCTTTCTGCTTGTCGCCATCCCACCACCAGGAAGGCAGCCCTCCTTCTGAAACACCAAGAGAGTAAACAGACAGTTCTTTGAATGGAGAGGAGCAGAAAGTGGAGTCCCCTCAAGATCAGTATTGGGACCTGTGGCTTTTCAACTTCTTCATAAATGATCTAGACTTAGGAGGGAGCAGGGAGGGGGCAGTTTGCTGATGGCAGCAAATTGTCCAGGTTTGTTCAAACAAATAGAGATTTCAAGGAGCTCCAAAGGGACTTCTCCAAACGGGGTGAATGGGAAGAAAATACAGTTCATTATCAATAAGATTAAAGTGATGCATGTTGGGACAAAAAACCAAACACCTGTTAATATCATGTACAGGCTCATGGGGTCTGAACTGGATTTCCCTGTGTGCTCTAGACCAGGGGAGAAGAGAGCTGGTCGCAGCAGGAGGGAGAATCTCTATGGATGCTTCAGCAGCCGGCCTCCTCTGGGTCTCCTGGCCCCCTCCTCTCCTCCCTCTGAGCCTGAACTGCTCTCTGCCCCAGACTCTTCCAGCTCACCAAACCCCGTTTCCTCCTCAGCTTGCAAAATCTCCCCTTCCGGTCTGCTCCCCTTTCTGCCTCTTTCAGCTCATCCCCCCACCAGTCCCCAGGCTCTGAGCCTTCTTCCCTTGTGGGTCCCCCAACTGGTGCCTCCCCCCCCCAGCCACTCCATGACAACAGCAGCAGCTATAGCACTGTGGTCCTCTGGTGGGAAAACTCCAGAGTACATGACTGAATCAAAAATTCTGGGACTATGGAAAAATACTATCTTCCTCAAACCCCCGAAATGAGCAGGAGCTCTGGGGTTGCCCCATGGGGTTCATGAGCGAAGATCGGCCCCCCCAGGAGACTTCTCTGATACCTGCAGCCCCTCCTTCCCCCTCTTGAAATTAGGCTGGGGGGAAAATCCCCCATTCAATTTCAGTATTTCAAGTTTTCTTCAGAACGTGCAGGGCAGGAGGCAGCGATGAAGTTCTGGTGAAGAAGCAGGGCTGGGAGATCATGCGGTGGGGGTGGGGGTGGTGACAGAATTTGGTGCAAAAACCAAAAGTACTTTCATCTAAAATTATACTCACCATTGTGAGATGCTGCCTTCATTATTTGATTATTATAATGTTTTACATATAAACACCAGAACTTCACATATACCTGATGCTTTTAGGAATGATTTCCTGCTGAGTTCATTGCTCAGAGTGGACTCTGAGAGGAAGAAGTACCACACTCCATACATCTAAATGGGTTCTCCCATGTGAGAGTCCCTGGATGCTCCTTGATCACTCCTTTATAAATAAAGCACTTCTTGCAGTCTTTTCATTCAAACTGCTTCTCCTCTCTGAGTTTGTTGATGGTTTGAAGGGTTTCAACTCTTAAAGTTCTTCCTGTCCGTGAGTCTGTTGATTTTGAACTTCCACTAAGAGTGAACCTCTATCTACTTTCCTGATATTTATACGGTTTGTCTTTTGTGTAAGTTTGTTGACATAAATCAAGGGTTCCACTCTGACTGAAGCTCCTTCCACAGTCCATACCTTTAAATGGTTTCTCCCCTGTGTATCTACTGATGTTTTCTAAGATTTCCACTCTGAGTGAAATATTTACTGTACTCCATACATTGAAATGGTTTCTCCCCTGTGTGAGTCTGTTGATGTCTTCTAAGGCTTCCACTATAACTGAAGCACTTTCCACACTCGATACATTTAAATGGTTTCTCTCCTGTATGAGTCCGTTGATGTGATCTAAGGCTTGTATTATAACGGAAATTCTTTTCACACTCTATACATTTATGTGGTTTCTCCCCTGTGTGAGTCTGTTGATGTTTTTTAAGTGTTCCACTCTGACTGAAGTCCTTTCCACACTCCATGCATTTAAATGGTTTCTCCCCTGTGTGACTCCGTTGATGTGATCTAAGGTTTGCACTCTGAGTGAAGCTCTTTCCACACTCCATACATTCATATGGTTTCTCTCCTGTGTGAGTCCGTTGATGTGTTCTAAGGCTTCCACTATGACTAAAGCTCTTGCTGCACTCCATACATTGAAATAGTTTCTTATTAAAGTGAGTTTGTTGATGTACTCTCAGGTTTTTACTATAACTGAAGCTCTTTCCACACTCCATACAAGTAAATGGTTTCTCCCCTGTATGAGTCCGTTGATGTGATCTAAGGCTTGTATTACAACGGAAACTCTTTCCACACTCGATACATTTAAATGGTTTCTCCCCTGTGTGTGTCTGTTGATGTCTTCTATGGTGTGTACTCTGACTGAAGCTCTTTCCACACTCCAGACATGTAAATGGTTTCTCCCCTGTGTGAGTCCGTTGATGTGATTTAAGGCCTGTATTATGAAGGAAACTCTTTCCACACTCCACACATTTAAATGTTTTCTCCCCTGTGTGAGTCCGTTGATGATTTCTAAGGTGTCCACTCTGACTAAAGTCCTTTCCACACTCCATGCATTCAAATGGTTTCTCCTCTGTGTGAGTCCGTTGATGTGATCTAAGGCTTCCACTATCACTAAAACTCTTTCCACACTCCATACATTTAAATGGTTTCTCCCCTGTGTGAGTCCGTTGATGTGATCTAAGGTGTCCACTCTGACTGAAGGCCTTTCCACACTCAATGCATTCAAATGGTTTCTCCCCTGTGTGAGTCCGTTGATGTGTTCTAAGGCTTCCACTATCACTAAAACTCTTTCCACACTCCATACATTTAAATGGTTTCTCCCCTGTGTGAGTCCGTTGATGTGATCTAAGGTTTGAACTCATACTGAAGTCCTTTGCACACTCCATGCATTTAAATGGTTTCTCCCCTGTGTGAATCCGTTGATGTCGTCTAAGGTCTCCACTCTGACTGAAGCTCTTTCCACACTCCATGCATTTAAATGGTTTCTCCCCTGTGTGAGTCCGTTGGTGTATTCTAAGCTTTCCATTATCACTAAAGCTATTTCCACACTCCATACATTCATATGGTTTCTCTCCTGTGTGTGTCCGTTGATGTCTTCTAAGGTTTCCACTATCACTAAAGCTCTTTTCACACTCCATACATTTATATGGTTTCTCCCCTGTGTGAGTCTGTTTGTGCAATTTAAGGTTTCCACTCTGACTGAAGTTCTTCCCACACTCCCTGCACGTAAAACGTTTTCTCCCTGTGTGAGTCCGCTGGTGTGTTCTAAGTTTTGCATTGAAAGAGAAGCTCTTTCCGCACTCCATACCTTTAAGTGGGTTCTTTCCTTTTTGTGTTCGTGGATGTGAACTATGTGTGCTCATTCAGTGAAGCATATTCCACGTTTCACACATTTTAATGGCTATTCCTAATGAAATGAAAGGTGCCCTGTCCCCTGCAATTCTGTCTTCTCCATCACCTTTTTCAGAGTGGGCAGAAAGGAAATCCTGTTTGGGTTTCAAGAAAGAGAACAAAGGGAAAGAGAACACATCAGATGCCATTAGCACCTTCTCTTATTTCAACATCTCCTACATTCTCCCATGTCCTACCCATGTTCCCAATTTTTAGAAAATGAAAATGGTATGATGTCAAATGGTAGTAAGACATCAGGAACCTTTCATAATCCTCAATCATCTTTAATAACACAGCATGATCTTGGAATACTGTTGTCCTCAAATCAAGTGGTTGCCCCCATTTCCACCTCTAGATCTTCATGAATCACCTTCACAGTCCCGCTGACCTCAGGAGGTCCATATGGACCATTTTGGGAGACTCAGGCCTTCTTCTTTTCCAGGGATTGTGGTCTGGGTCAGTCAGAAAACTAGTGACAAGGCTTTGTGCTTGGGGTCAGCTGAATGGGTGCTCAGGGAAGCTCCTGTTCTTGGAGATGGACCTCTGTCTACGTGCCTCACATTGCATGGAGAGAGCAGGAGAAGCAGAAGGAAAGCAGATGGGAATCCCAGGCGGAAACACCCACCCCAATGGTGCTTTATAATGATGACGTGCTGCCTGATCCTGTCCTTGTCTTCTGATAGAGGACTATCCTAATCTGGCACTGAAAAGCAGGATATTCAAGGCAAGGAGATAACTGTACTTAATGGTAGGTAGCCATGACACAGTTCAAGTAAAAAAGTAACAAAAATAGTCCAGTAGCACCTTAGGGTCTTGGGAGAAAAGCAATGACAAACCTAGACAGCGTCTTAAAAAGCAGGGACATTACCTTGCCAACAAAGGTCCGTATAGTTAAAGCTATTGTTTTCCCAGTAGTGATGTATGGAAGTGAGAGCTGGACCATAAAGAAGGCTGATGGCCGAAGAATGGATGCTTTTGAATTCTGGTGCTGGAGGAGGCTCTGGAGAGTCCCATGGACTGCAAGAAGATCAAACCTCTCTATTCTGAAGGAAATCAGCCCTGACTGCTCACTGGAAGGACAGATACTGAAGCTGAGACTCCATGACTTTGGCCACCTCATGAGAAGAGAAGACTCCCTGGAAAAGACCCTGATTTTGGGAAAGATGGAGGGCCCAAGGAGAAGAGGACAACAGAGGACGAGATGGTGGTACAGTGTTCTTGAAGCGACCAGCATGAGTTTGACCAAACTGCAGGAGACAGTGGAAGACAGGAGTGCCTGCTCTGGTCCATGGGGTCATGAAGGGGCGGACACGACTAATCGACTAAAAAACAACAACAACAACAACAGCAACTTAGGGACCAACTAATTTTTTTCTAGGCATTAGCTTTTGTGTGCATGCACACTTCTTCATATAGTGATGGGTAGGGGGAGATGGTAGTAGGAGTACCCTTCAGAGAAAAACCCCACCCCACCCTCCCACGATATACAAGGGTCTGGTGACATCTGTGTCAGTGTATCTGAAGAAGTGTGCATGCACACAAAAGCTTATATCTAGAACAATCATAGTTGGTCTCTAAGGTCCTACTGGACAATTTTTTAATTTTTTATTTCAACTGCGTCAGACCAATACGGCTACCTACCTGAATCTAGATGTCATGGGGTGTTGGGGAGGAGTAGTTCCTTTGGTGGGGGACATGTCCTGCACCTCCTGGGGTCATTTTTCCACCCTTGGTTCCCACCCTGCACTCAGCTCTCACCTGTAGCTTCCAGAATAATAATAATAATAATAATAATAATAATAATAATAATAATAATAATAATAATAATAATAAAAATTATTTATATCCCGCCCTCCCCAGCCGAAGCTGGGCTCAGGGCGGCTAACAACAATCAAATAATCAAACAGTAAAATAGTCACACAATCTAAAAATATTTCATTATAAAAATTAATCACATCAAATTGATGGCAACCAATTAAGCAAAATTCTGTGCAGGTTGCCAGAGGAGGGAGTCAGGCTGTGCCCTGACCAAAGGCCTGGTGGAACAGCTCTGTCTTGCAGGCCCTGCGGAAAGATGTCAGGTCCCGCAGGGCCCTAGTCTCTTGTGACAGAGCATTCCACCAGATTGGAGCCGCAGCCGAGAAAGCCCTGGCTCTAGTTGAGGCCAGCCTAACCTCTCTGAGGCCTGGGACCTTGAGGATGTTATTATTTGCAGACCGTAGGTTTCTCTGTGGGGCATACCAGGAGAGGCGGTCCCGTAGGTACGAGGGTCCTAGGCCGTATAGGGCTTTAAAGGTTAAAACCAGCACCTTAAACCTGATCCTGTACTCCACCGGGAGCCAGTGCAGCTGGTATAGCACTGGGTGAATGTGATCCCACGGGGAGGACCCCGTAAGGAGTCTCGCCGCGGCATTCTGCACCCGCTGGAGTTTCTGGGTCAGTCTCAAGGGCAGCCCCACGTAGAGCGAGTTACAATAATCCAGTCTGGAGGTGACCGTCGCATGGATCACAGTGGCTAGGTCAGGGCGAGAGAGATAAGGGGCCAACTGCTTAGCTTGGCGGAGATGAAAAAATGCCGCCTTTGTTATAGCTGTAATCTGCGCCTCCATAGAGAGGGAGGTATCGAAGATTACACCCAAACTCTTCACGGATGATGCTGGCACTAATTGCACCCCCGCAAGAGACGGGAGTTGCCCCCTCAATCCCATATCGCTCCGCCCCAGCCAGAGGACCTCTGTCTTTGAAGGATTTAACTTCAACCGGCTCCCACGTAACCATCCAGCCACAGCTTCCAGACATCTGGTCAGTGTGTCTGGGGCCGAGTCAGGATGGCCATCCATCAACAGATAGAGTTGGGTGTCATCAGCATACTGATGGCAACCCAGCCCAAAACTCCGGACAAGCTGGGCGAGGGGGCGCATAAAGATGTTAAAAAGCATCGGGGAGAGAATCGCACCCTGAGGCACTCCACACACCAAGGAGTGGCACGATGACAATTCCCCCCCAAGCGCCACCCTCTGTCCCCGACCAGAGAGAAACAAGCGCAGCCATTGAAGGACTGTGCCCTGGATCCCCACATCGGCAAGGCGGTGGTCCAGGAGTTCGTGATCGACCATGTCAAAGGCTGCTGACAGATCTAGAAGAATCTGCAGCCCCGACCCGCCTTGATCCAGCTGCCTACAGAGATCATCGGTTAGGGCGACCAGAGCCGTCTCGGTCCCATGACCAGCGCGGAAGCCGGACTGGAATGGATCCAAAGCAGATGTTTCATCCAGAAACCTACCAAGCTGTTCAGCAACCGCTCTCTCAATCACCTTACCCAGGAAGCTGTCAGCATGCAACAGGGGTTCAAGCAACGTCTTCAACCGGCCGGCTAACCCAGGTGAGGAAAGCTGATGGGTCTCAAATCCTTGGGGGGCTGGGGAATTCTGCTGCACCTGAAGTCAAGCCCTGGTGGATGGAGAGGAGGAGAACAACCATGAATCCCACAGTCCAGAAGGCAGATTCTGCCCGTGCGGAAGAGGAAAGTGAAGCGCAGGTGGGGCACGTCCACCTGGAGGCTTGTTATCTAGTCCCAGGGTTACTCTGACCTTGAATTATATATAAATTACAGTATTGAAATGCGCCTGCTCCCACTTCCTATTCTGATATTTCTCTACTCTGCTTGTCTGTTTCTTACTTGAGTGCTGTTTTGGTATGCTAAGTCAGGGTTTTACTGTAAGTTACATTTTTGCTATTTTTTGGATCTTGTTATGCTTATTTGTCTTCAGTACAGTCATACCTCATGTTATGTTTGCTTCAGGTTGTGCCTTTTCGGGTCGTGTCCTGTGGCATCCCAGTTACTTCCGGGTTTTGCCGCCCGTGCATGCGCAGACGTGCAAAATCAGGTCATGTGCATTTGCAGAAGCAGCGAATCGTGACCCACGCATGCACAGACGTGGGTTGCATTCTGCTCATGTTGCGAACTGGCCTCCAGAACGGATCCCGTTCGCAACCAGAGGTACCACTGTAATAGATTTCTCAGCTGAATTATTTTTTTCTGCCTCTGAGCGTTTTTTGCTACTCTGCTAATTATATCTCAGACTTGCTCTGGAGATCGTTATGGAGGAGCAAGATCTGCCACCTAAAGCCATAAACAGCCTCGGCGCTGTAGACCTGAAGGAACATCTCCACCCCCATCACTCAGTCCGGACAAGGAGGTCCTCCTCCAAGGGTCTTCTGCTGGTTCCCTTGCTGTCAGAAGTGAAGTTCCAGGGAACCAGGCAGAGGGCCTCCTGCCCCATGGAATGCCCTCCCCTCAGAGGGCAAGGAAACAGGCAGCTATCTGACATTTAGAAGACAGCTGTATCAGGAGGTTTTTAATGTTGGATGTTTTACTGTCTTGTATATGTACTGTAAGCTTCCCAGAGTGGCTGGGGAAACCCAACCAGATGGGCAGGGCATAAATTCTGCAATCATTCTTTTCATCCCCCTGAGCACGGCCATGGCTGGGGAGGGTGGGGTATAAATAAAAATTTATTATTATTATTATCATCATCATCATCATCATCATCTTGTGATTTTTTAAAGTTATTTTGAAATTCATACTGCAATATTAGCTTACAAAATGTTATGGGTGGAGAAAATCACAGGGTTGCCATAAACTATAATCCCACCCAAAAACTCTCATTCACATACAGTCTGTAAATTTGGGGAGGTCACACACCTCACCTGTGCTGATACTGGCAGTCTTTGGCCTGCACAGGCACACCCGGTGTGTAGAGCCTCCAGCCCCAGGCACTGTCTATCATGAAAATGGCTCCTTTGACTGGGAAGATTCATGCAGTCGCTGTCATCGGATGATGAAGGATTGTATCTCAGCTCGTCAGTCACTCTGACACTGCCTTCGAAGAATAAGAGGAACGGAAATGCTTTT